TCCTCCTCCTCCTCCTCCTCCTCCTCCTCCTCCTCCTCCTCCTCTTCCCCTTCCCCTTCCTCTTCTTCCTCTTCATCATCATCATCATCATCATCAAGCTGGGCTCCCTTCCCATTATGCTTCAGTGAAAGAAGAGCCAGGTTTTAATGTCCTTTCAGGGTAGACCCTCCCCCAATATATTGGTTTAGATGAAGCAATGAACCTAAATACATATTTAAAGATTTTGGGATGCTAGCCATTCTGACCCCAGGAGAAACTTTCCTAATCCCGAAAAAAACACAAGTTCTTGAATATGTAATAGTTTAAGATAACTCCATTAAAAGTTGCATCTTTTATAACAGGATTAAAGAAGAGGGAAGGAGAGTCTTTAAATGAAGGATGCCCCTTAGCTGAGATTCCAGAAGGAAGGTCCTAAAGACAGATCAAGTATCAATAGCATTGCTGAGTGGTAATGAGTAGCACATAGTTGGGGTTGAATGCCACTCAAAGCATATACTTTTTCCTCCCCAAAATAGCCTTATGTAAGAGAGAATCTAACTTATCTGGAATGACTAGTAAAGGAGTAGCTGTTGCAATGCTTGAAGCCCTCTTCACTGTTGAATATTATATTTGTTCAATGTCCTTTATACTGCATGCTTGAGACATGGACTATCCTATCAAGAAAGAGTCTTTTAGGCGGTAATATTATTAATAATACATAGCACCAAAAAGACAATTGATGTAAGAGGTCTTTGGTGCTCTGTGGGCTTGGTAGTTTCCTTGCAGACATTTCAATACCCAAACTAGGTAACATCATCACTGCTAGTGACTAGGATTGATGATGTAACTTAGTTTGGATAATGAAACATCTGCAAGGAAAAAAAATCAAGTTAGTGAGTACTAAGGAGCCTAATTTCAACCCTGAGCTACCAGTACTCTCCATTGTCAACACAATTGGTTTAAGTAATTGATTTTTATCTTTTTAGCTTCTTCAAGGAGGCTCTGAGCAGCTTCTGCGATCTTTATATCTACATAAAGATTTATCTGCATACAGCTATATTAGTACTGGAGTACAACCAAAGGTGAGGAAGAATCATTTTTCCCTTTGAAACTATTGCATGGTAAACTATTTCTTATCAGTCCGTACATTTGGAGATCTTGTATTTGTTTTCTAATATGAGTTTAACCTATTTAATCAATACTTACAAATAATTTTGATTGGCAAGTTTAAAAACTGCTTAAAAATGAATGTTGCAGTATATTTCCAATATTAATTGGTCAACTTCCAAAGCAACTCTTTTATTAAGGTCCCAGATCAGGATTCAAAGGGTGAAACATACTAATTTTAAGAATATAAAATACACAAATTACATCTTTAGCAAACTTTTTAGGGTATTCTATGGAATCTTTTACAGTATCTGATTTATTTTAGATGAAGAAACTAAAAATATATAACTTCATCCAATAATTCCAAGGCCACATTTTAACAGCAAAATTTATGGCTAATTTAATAGCAAAATGACTGAAAGGTTTTATTGTGTAATTTATTTTTATTATTACAAAAACTCTGATTCCTGTAATCTTTAAAATGGTAGGACAGGTTTTGAATCAGGATACCTCAGATGAGCTAATATATATACAACGTGTCCAAATTTATGACTCTTGACTTCAGTGTAATTGAAATTTGACAAATTTTAAAACATTTTATACCATAGAACAGTTTGTATCCTAATGCAAAATGTCATAAAACCTTTCCTGCAGTAATGTTTGACAGTGCTACACAATTCAACATGGGCTAATTTCAAGACACATAAAACTCTAGCAGGGGGGCTATGTGAGGATGCTTTTTGTAGATTTTAGTTCTGCATTTGACACAATTCCTCCACATAGGCTAGTGTCTAAACTTCTGGACCTTGGACTTTCTTATTCAATCTGCCTTTGGATTATGGATTTCCTGGGGTTGGATTAGGTAATCATGCCTCTTCAGCCCTTATTCTTAACACTGGTACATCACAGGGTTGTGTGTTGAGTCCCTTACTCTATACTCTTCATGTGCATGACTGCATTCCCACTCACGCTAGTAATACTATTACTAAATTTGCAGATGATACAACAGTGGTGAGACTCATCTCCAGAGGGGATGAGTCTGCCTACCGAGATGAGGTGGACCGGTTGCTTTCATGGTGTGGAGACAATAACTTGGTCCTCCACACCAATGAGACCAAGGAACTTATAGTGGACTATAGAAGGAACAGATCACACACACAGCCCTTGCTTATCAATGGAGACTGAGTGGAGCAAGTGGCCAGTTTTAAGTTTCTGGGTGTTATCATAAAAGAGGGCCTGACCTGGGATGCTCACATTGCAGCACTGGACAAAAGGGCCCAGCAGAGATTATACTACCTGAGACTTCTCAGAAAACAACGACTGAATGAAAAACTGCTGGTGATCTTCTGCCGCTGCACCATAGAGAGTATTTTAACTTACTGCACCTCTGTATGGTTTGCCAATTGCGCAGTGGCAGATAGGAAAGCACTCCAGAGGGTTAATGTCATTGCCCAGAAGATCATTGGTTACCCTCTCCCTCTTTGGAATAACTTTATAGCTCCCGCTGCCTTAAGAAAGTTCAAAACATTCTCAAAGATCCATCTCATCCTGGGAACCCCTTTTTTTAACTATTACCATCTGGCAGACGGTACAGAATAATAAAAACAAGGACAAATAGGCTGAAAAACAGCTTCTATCCCAGGGCAGTAGCTCTTTTAAATTCTGATGTATAGTGCAGTGTTGATGCTATGTTGGGGGGGTTCGGTTCAATTTGTGGAGTGTGAAGGATGTGTGTTTGTGTTTATTTTCATGGTCATGATATAAACTGAAGATGGTGTTTGATTTTGTTGTATGAGGTCCAAACCAAACCAAACCAAACCAAACCAAACCAAACCGTACCGTACCGTACCGTACCGTACCGTACCGTACCGTACCATCTTTTCCAATTAAGACTCTGTCACTGTTGCAGTCATTGAGGAATCTGGTGGGGAAATAGCTCTGAAAAGATGAGCCAAAAGAGCATGTATTACCTAATTATGACTATGAATGTGGATTTGAATTAGACAGGTAACAGTGCTCTGGATATTACAGGTATTTCTTCATTTAACAGTTCATTCAGTAACTGTTCAAAGTTACAACTTCACTGAAAAAAGTGACTAATGACCATTTTTCACACTTATGACTACTGCAGGATCCCCATGGTCATGTGATCAAAATTCAGACATTTGACAATTGGCTCAAATTTATGACAGTTGCTGTCCTAGGGCTATGGGATCATCTTTTGCAACCTTCTGATAAACAAAATCGGTGGGGAAGCCAGATTCACTTAACAACTATGTAACTAACTTAACAACTGAAGTGATTCACTTAACAACTATGGCAAGAAAAGTCGTAAAATGGGACAAAAGTCACTTAAATGTCTCACTTAACAATAGAAATTTTGGACTCAATTCTGGTCGTAAGTCAAGAACTACCTGTATTGCATCTCACATTACCTTACTTGTATTATACTGTATATAGTTACCTATTTTTATTTGGAATTCTGTGCTATGTTCTTTTTTGCTCCTTGAGAACAATAATAAAATAAGTTTCCAAATTTGGCCAAATTGGTTTAAAATTCTCCTTGCTATTTTTTTTTTTTAATTAGGGAAAAAATCCAAACTTTTGGCTGAAAACTTTTGAAAAGTTTACCTTATTACGGGATAGCTACCAACTTTACTTTTGCCAACTATTTATCTTCAATTCCTAATTAACATTATTGTGTTTTGTATGACTTTGGCTAACAGGAAAGGATAATTTATATTCTCTCTTGCAGCTTCATTTACTCCTTTTTTCCTTGTTTTCATCCAACCCCCAACCTCCATCACCCCCTAGAGTTTTTTAATTATTAATTTGGATTCATTATGGGTATTTTAACAGATTAAATAGACTTTCTCTTTTGCTTTTCTTTTTCCTATCAGCTGGTTCATGTAATACTTTTTTACTACTATTACTAATACTTTATTCTTTGTTTTGGTTGAAGTATTCCTTTGGCTTTCCCATGTAGGGATGAGTGTCTTATTTTCCCTTGCTTAACATCGTATTCCTAGTGTTAAAGCAAGAGAGGGACTTCATGTTTCTGTTTGATTCTTTTTTAGTGTGCCATTAATGACAGTGCAGATTTTAAAGCTGTTGCTGATGCGATGAAAGTGATTGGGTTTGGACCAGAAGAGATTCAAACAGTGTACAAAATCCTTGCTGCCATTCTGCATTTGGTAAGTGGATCTCTCTGCTGTTAGATTTATGGAAAGAAAGTATGTTGTAAGGTTATATGAGGAACATCGGGAACAAGAGGGTAATAGTTACATTTTGCATCTATACCAGAGGTGGTATTCTGCAGGTTCTGACCAGTTCTGGAGAACCGGTAGCAGAAATTTTGAGTAGTTCGGAGAACCGGCAAATACCACCTCTGACTGGCCCTGCCCCCATCTAGTCTCTGCCTCCCAAGTCCCGGCTGATTGGCTGGGTCTTCCTTTGTTGCCCTGCACAGGAAAATGGAGCTGGAAAGCAGGTTAGTGTGGTGGGGAGGGAATGGGATTTTGCAGTAACCTTCCCCTAGGAGTGGGGTGGAAATAGAGATTTTACAGTATCCTTCCCCTGCTATGCCATGTCCACCGAGCCACACCACACCTACCAAGCCACAGAACCGATAATAAAAGTTTTTGAATCCCATCACATGCACATTTATTTGGGTGAGAGACATTAATTCTATTTAAATATATTAAAGATCAAAGATATTCAGATTCCAGGTTTATTTCTAAAGATAGGCAAGCTGATAGAATGAATCAGGTTTCCATGGTTACAAAAAAATACAGGTATTCCTTGACTTACAATTGTTCAAGTTGTGGTTGAAGTTCCGATGTAGCTGACAACTTACACTTACAACCATCCACACAGTCACATGATTACAATGTGGGCGCTTGGCAACCAACTCACATTTATAACAGTTGTGGTTTCTTGGAGCCACATGATCGCCATTTGCAGCCTTCACAGCTGGCTTCCAACAAGCAAAGTCAATGAGGAAGCCAGCAGAGAACGTTACAAGTTGCAATCATGTGTTATCTCAATTAACAACCTCAATGTGGTCAAGTGATGCCTCCCTTAACCACTACAACACTTAATCATGAGTTTTCTGGTCTAATTGTGATTGTAAGTAGATGATTACTTGTAGAAACTTCCAATGTTCTTTAGTGGATTTGTTCTTTTATTAATTTTAATAAGTAAGGTGTAATTTATTCTCAGCAAAACAATGTATCAGGAATTTGGTTCCCTAGCAAGAAATGTTTTAGTTTAGGGTGGATATGGAATATTTATTATCCTAGTTTGGGATGAATCAAAGAAATAGCCATAGTTTTTAAGCAGATATAATACCTAACTTGTGCTTGATGCTGAAATTGTTGAAGAAATGAAAATGTTTCTTCCATATTTTTTCCAGGGCAACTTGAAATTTTCTGTGGATGGAGAAACACCAATGATTGAAAATAGCAAGCTAGTATCTGTCATTGCGGATCTGCTCTCGACTAAAGCTGATATGGTAGAAAAGACCCTGCTTTTTCGAACTGTAGCTACTGGTCGTGATATCATTGATAAGCAACACACAGAGCAGGAAGCCACTTATGGCAAAAATGCATTTGCAAAGGTGAATATAGATTCCATCCTATCAGTATGAAGTCTACCTTTTTAGTTTATGATATCTTCATTTTTAAGTGAAAGTTAATATGATTGATTCAAAAAGGTCCAAAGTTGCCACGTAAAAAAATCCACAAGTAAATTATCACTTGCCATTCATGAACAATCTATGTAAGAAGGAAAAAGGTAACTTTCTCTCCAGTTATCAGAAATATTCTGTCTGTGATCAATAATTGCCTTATTTTTTGTGACCAGAAATCAAAGTATTGTTTGAAGTTTGTCTGAATTGCCAGTTATTATTATATTTTTTTTGGGGGGGGGGGACACACACTAGTGATTGGAATTTTCTGGAGATTTATGAAATCTTTGGAATTCCCTAAGTTAATGGATGATGTAAAAGTCATACTATGAGAAAGTGTGAAATAAGGTGTGAGAAGACAAGTATATTTTTTGTGTGTGGGGAGATTGGAATGCACACACTTGTAGCTACTTTTTCAGTGAAACACATTGTATATCATCAGTAAAGTTAATACAGTGATGGAGAAGGAATCTGGAACTGGCTGACCTTTTTAATGAACTAAATGTCCTGAAAATAACCGCATTTCAATTTTAATAATGTTACAACAAAAGAACAGCTTTATTTGCAGATTATTTGTTTAACTCTCATAAGATTTTTACTGCTGCAGTAGTTTAGAACTGGATGGTTCCTAGTTTTTTTTTATAAGGCTACAGGGCCTAACACAAAATACAGGCTTACTAAATCTGAGTTTTAAACCAACCAAATAAAATTGATTGATGTACTTTGGTTTATAGGCAATATATGAACGCCTTTTCTGCTGGATTGTGATGCATATCAATGATGGGATTGCAGTGAAAGATTACAACAGCACCGTTCATGGCAAAAACACAGTGATTGGAGTTCTTGATATCTATGGCTTTGAGATCTTTGACAATAACAGGTGAAATATCTTGAGACAGTCATGTATATATTGGTTCATAGGAGGATTTAAGGCATTATTTACTGATTTTTCCTTTTATAGTTTTGAACAATTCTGCATTAACTACTGCAATGAGAAGTTGCAACAGCTCTTCATTCAACTTGTTTTGAGGCAAGAACAGGAAGAATATCAGCGAGAGGGGATTCCTTGGAAGCACGTGAGTAGATTTTACATGGTCTGCTCAGAAACACTCAATGGTTACCCCACCCCCAAATTAAGATTTAAAATGCAGAATCCTAGGGGGGGGGGATCCAATATGCTTATTTAAAATATCAAATCTAAAGGACACAATTACTAGGAAACCAGTTAATAAAGCCTGCAAAAGTCATAAAGGAAAAGACTGAAAATTGAAAGCAGACAAATTTTATCCAGTTAAGAAGGTAAAGAAAATGGCGATGGTTTCAAGAAAAACTATTTCTGTTATACCTGGATTTGAGGAAAGGGATAAAAATGTGGAACTTCAAGAAAGACTTTTTCAGCTACTATATAGGCTAAGTGAGACTATACAGAAATAATCTTTTAAATACTTTGATCCAAAGGCAAGGTTATAAAGATTATAATCAACACTCTGAGTTATGCCTGGAAGCAGACTGATAAGCAAGACAGTTGCAATATCAATGGTACAGTATGATCTTTGAGAATACCCTCTGCTCCTGCAGCTATGTATTCATGGATATATATATTCATGAATACAGAATAGCAATGGTACTTAGAATTACCACTGGTACTTAGAGTTTCACAGTGCTTTACAGCCCTCTTGAAGCAGTTTATAGTGTTAGCATATTGCCCCCAATAATCTGGGTCCTCATTTTACTGACCTCAGAATGATGGAAGGCTGAGTCAACTTTGAGCCAGTCAGAACTGAACTGCTGAACTACTGCATTTTAACCACTGTGCCACTGTGGGTCAGAATATTTCTGTATTCATCTCCCTGTCCAACTAAATGGGATCAACTCTTTCCGGATCCCATCCCTATTGGATTATTATCTAATGGGGCCTTAAAAATGGGCATTTTTAATAGCCGCCTATTTCCTTTGAACTTCTTCCTGGCAGAGGTGCAATCAGCCTCATTCTCTTAGGCTTTAGGAAAATTGTGGAGATTTATCTGTTCCAACTTGCACAGGAAGAAAGTGCATTATAATTGAAGATGAGGTTCATGTGTGCCTGTCATTTGTATTTTTTATCTTTCTTGAGCTTTCATTGTATCTGGAATTGCATATATTTGGAAACGTTACATATTCAAATTGTTAGCAATGTAGAATCTTGAGAATGAACAGAATACAACCAAAATGAATGTTTTGTGCCAAGTATAAATCTTAATGGGTTTTCAAGGAATGTCCCATGTAGAGGTTATTACAGTAGTATAACAACAGCAACAACAAAGAATAGGTAATCTGTTACAGATTTGTGTACTCCGATAATGGTTATCATTCAATCATGGTTGAATAAGGTATATTCCTATATAATGTAGTTGCTTCTTCAAGGAGATTGCAAGTGCATCTAGCTTTGGTTAAACAGCAACATCTGGCTTATCCTTATTCTCATGCTGGTTCAAGATACCCACACTTAAACACAAGCTGGAAGAAATATATCTGCATACTGATGATATGTTCCCCTAAATCTCTGGGTTATGTAGTACATTTCTCAACAGTTTTAGTACATAGAAAAATGATATCCTTATATGACACTATGGTACAATACAGATGATAACAAGCCAAAATTCCCAGTATTGCCTTTGGAGACTCGCTTATCAGAAATTTTTGAATTACTATAAGATGGTGCTGTATACCCACCAGTCAGCTCAGATTGGTCAATGCCACACTAAATAGAATCCCAAACCACAGAACCAGCAGTGGTTTATTCACTCTGTCTAGGTCTCCATTCTCCAATTCCCAAAATAACCAAGGCCTGAACTTTGTCAAAATAGATCTAGACAATCTATTTTGTTTAAATAATCTTTGCAATGCCAAACAACTATCTGATCTTGTGCCAAAAATGGAGATTGAAGACAAATTAATAAATATCTACCTCTTAGAATCTGAGCAGAAAGGGAAAATGTTACTTATTTCAGGCAGGACAAAAATATAACCACTGCCCATGTGTTTAATGAAACAGAGATTGGCAAAGCCACCTATAATCAGCAACCACTAGCACAGGGAAGCCATATAGTTAATAATTTTTCCCAAGATTCTGAGACTGCGCTCTTAACTTTGGAAAAATAGAGGGTTTTCTATCGTTATTGGTATAAAGTACAAAAAGGAGGTAAAACCTGGAATATACATTCTCAATCACACAGAATACCATATCAATAATTTTTTATTCTTCAGATATCTCTAGATTTAGAAAGCAGTTTTAAAATGTTGCTGAATAGTTTGGCTTACATTTTTTTGAAATATTGTGTATGAATTTAGAATACATCTCACTGAGTTTTAAAGTAGGAACTGCATCTGAAGGAAATTTAAACTTATACCTCCTCATTTCCTTTCGTATTACTGATTCTAATAGCAGTGTTTACTTTTCCTCATGGAGTTCTCTTTAGTATTTGTGCTCAAATATTCTATAGATTGACTACTTCAACAACCAGATTATTGTTGATCTTGTGGAGCTGCAACATAAGGGAATCATAGCCAATTTGGATGATGCGTGCATGAATGTTGGAAAAGTCACAGATGAAATGTTCCTGGAGGCTCTTAATAAGAAGTTGGGCAAGCATGCTCACTTTTCCAGCAGAAAGGTATTTTTGTCCAATCTGGCATTAACTATAATACTGTCACTAGACTAACAAGCTATTTTTTTTACTTAATTAGCATTGAAATATTTTAACTTTCTTAATTGAAACAGATCAGTTTACACAAAATAGACATTTAGCTTCATGTTATACCACTGCTTCTAAACATATGCCAAGGAATTTTGAAAAGCATATTTTTCAGAGTTTATGACTAATTGATTTTTTTCTTAAAGCATTTTATCCTCCTGAAAAGGATCAAAGAACTGTGTACAATTTAAGCTGCAGTTTCTAAAAACACGGTACAAAAACAACAAACACCGTACAAGGACAAAAGATCATAAAAAACAAATCCACACAATATCCTCTTTATTATCAAGTTGACCAAGTCATATTATCAAGTTCAGCAAGTGCCATTTCATCAGAGTGGAAGACTGCTTCCTCTCTGATGGGCTTAGAGTGTAGAATATGGAAGAAAGCTCGTAAATAGCCTAATGCTGCCTCTTCCACCTTCCCCTCTTCATGGTGTCTTGTTCAGTATATATTTAATCCTATTGGGATTTTAAGAACTAGAACATACTTTTCAATCCATCCAAGCCATAAACTCGTAGGTATTAAGGCTGAGTTGAAAATACATGAATTTTTAGTGCATCCCATTCCATCCATATGTGGATCTGACTGTGATGGTTTGGGGCTCAAACTGAACTATGGTATTTGTTGGCTGATATTGTTATGGTGACACTAGTTGGGGGAAGGAACCAATTGGCATATACAGAATGTATAGCTAAAATTCACAGATCGAGAGATTAAAAAAAATAAATCTCAAGCTTATGGCTTGAAGTACTCCTCTGCTATAAATAATCTTTAAAGCTGTTTCCAAAGGGAAAAAAATTTAATATCCAGCAGAGGGAGCCATAGACTTTTCAATGTTAAAGAGAAAAACAGAAACATGAAGCTGGCTAGACTCTGATGTCATTTATAACCAATAGAAGCCCAGTAATGTAATGTTTCTGAACAAGTAAGAGCAGAGAATATGGAGTATGTAGGTTTTTATTTCAGAAAGGTGAAGAGATTCTTTTTGAAACTGTAGTTGAATAATGTTTTTATTAGGAGCAAATAGAATGCAACAAAAGCAAATTATTAGAGCTGTTCAAAAGGCTACTTGTTATGCAAAACACTGGGAAAGAGGAGTGTTAAAGGAAAACGCTAGCTTTGCTGAAGCCACAAAGTCTTCATTTGGTCACATCCATAAAATAGACTGTAAGATATAATTGCTAGTTTAAATAGATACATCTGAATACACTACAGATTTCAGGTTGTCCTTAGGGTTGTTAGGGCTGCCCAGGGATGGGATTCTACCGGTTCAGACTGGTTCTATAGAACTGGTTGATATGATTCTGTGCAGTTCAGAAAAACCAGCAAATTGTGCCCCTGTCTGGCCCTGCCCCTCCCTGCCCAGTCAGTCCTTATCGCGCAAGTGCAACATTGTGCAGCCCAACATTGCTGACTGCATTCTTCCCCACTCAGTCACTCCTTAAGGTATTTATTTTATGTTCCTATAATCAGCTGTGCCGGGATTCCCCTCGCTTACTTACTGCTTCACCCAGGAGGCTTCCCTGAGGCCCAGGAAAGCCAAAAATGGAGGGGGGTGCAGCTCCCCCCTACCCCCTCCATTTTTTGCCTTCCTGGGCCCCAGGGAAGCCTTCTGGGAGTAAAAACGCCTCCTCAGGAGGCTCCACAGAGGCCCAGGAGGCCCCAAAACAGAGCACAGGGGGTTGCTGTGTGCAACCCCATGCTCAGTTTTTTTTTTTCCTTCTGAGGCCCAGGGAAGCTTCCTAGGAATAAAAACACCCCCCAGGAGGTTTCCCTGAGACTCAGAAGGCCCCCAAAATGGGGTGGCTGCAAAAAAGCCACACCCACCCAGTCACATGGCCATGCCCACAGAATCAGTTGTTACAAAATTTGAATCCCACCCCTGGGGCTGCCTCTAAGATTGTTAATAGAATAGTTAATCCATTTTTGAAAGTACATCAATTAGCAATTAATAGATTCTGTCTTCTAAGTAAAATGTAGAGATTAAGCACTTTTTCATTATTAAGAAATTTAAAATGGTGTCATTTTTACATTCAGAAATAGTAAAGTTCTTTGTGAATCGGTATAGCTTAGGGAGTACATAGCGTAGTTACAGTTCTACTCATTGTTTACCTCTGGGGGGGAAATATTATTATCATTATTGATATTGATATTTTGATGCATTTTTAAATGTTCAGTTGACTGAGTTTCATGTTTAATGAATAAAGTATGTAATAATATAATAATAATAATGAAAGAAACAGAAGGTTTAATAATTGCTGCTCAAGATCAATTACTACAAACTAATGCCATGAAAGCGAAGATACAAAAATCCACTGACAATCCAAACAACGAAGTTGAAACTGTTTTACATTTGATATGTGAGTGCAGCAAAATCCCACAAACTGATTACAAAGCTAGACATGATCGAGTTGCTAAATTAATCCACTAGTCATTATGTAAAAAATACAACTTACCTGTATCCGAAAAGTCATTGGAACATAAAGTGGAAAAAGTTGTCAAAAATAAAAAGGTGAAGACTTGTGGGACTTTCGAATACAGACAGATTGTTGTTTAGAACACAACATGCCAGGTATCACAGTTGTCGAAAACTGAAGTGTACAATTTATTGATATCACTGTAGTGAGAGACGCCAGAATTGAAGAAAAAGAACTGGAAAAAATCATGAAATATTGTGACCTGTCCATTGAAATATGCGATTATGGATGAAACATGTAACAGTGATACCCATTATCATCAGGGTACTTTTTACCATGTCCAAGAATTTTATAAAATACATCAAGAAATTGCAGCTTCCTGCAATAACATCAGCGGAACTGCAAAAGACTGTGCTACTTGGAAAATCATACATCTTAAGAAGATACTTGGTTGATACCTAGGATGCTGGCAGCAACCTGTATCAACCATTAGTGCCAGTCAGTTATATTTGTGATACATTTTTAAATGTTCAATTGACTGAGTTTCATGTATAATAATAATAATCTAGAACTTCATAACTTGGATCAAAAGACAAGAAAACTAATGACAATGCACATTTTCTGCATTCAAAAAGTATCAGGACAGCAGAGGACTCTTAAGTTGAAACAAACTGTGGAAGAGGAAACACATGGCTTAAATGACTACATAAGAAAAGCAAAAAAGCCTCTGCTGAAAGAGGTGAACAAGTGTAACTTCTTGAAAATGAGATTGAAAACAGAAGATAGAATTCTTTATTGGCCAAATGTGATTGGACACACGAGGAATTTGTCTTGGTGCAAATGCTCAATGTACATAAAAGAAAAGATACATTCATCAAGAATCATAAGGTACAACACTTGATAATAGTCATAGGGTACAATAAGCAATCAAATCATACTAGGAAACAGTCAATATAGAAAGGAAACAATTGAGCATCAAGTTTCTATCTGGAAAAAGAAGCCTATGCATAGTCAATATCTGAAGGACTTTAAAGGAAAAGTAGATACTGTGTTTCTCACAAAATAAGGCTGGGCCTTATTTTTTTTTCACCCTCGAAAAAACGGCTAGGCTGTCTTTTTGGGGGTGACTTAATTTCCTCCCCCCCTAGAGCGGCCCATACACACGTACCTCTCAACAAGGCTGTTTCTATCAGCCGACGAAAGCTCCCCGAAAGCAGAGTCCCCAGCCGCTTCGGGGTGAGGCGTGGCTGCCCGTGTCCCCTTGCCATTAGGCAGTGTCTTTTGGGCGATGGAAGCTCCCCAAGGGCAGTCACCAGCCACTTTGATCGGCCGGTAGAAGCGGCCTCAGGGTGAGTGCACACACACACACCCCTTGCCGTTTCTATCGGCTGACAAAAGCTCCCCGAAGACAGAGTCCCCAGCTGCTTCAGGGCGAGGCATTCTCTTCACCTTGTATAGTTCTAACAAACGATATGAGAAATGGCAGGGAAACGCATGGTTTAAATAGGCCTAAATTTTGCGGGTGGGGCTTAATTTCACCTCATGCCTAGAAATCATGCTGGGCCTTCCTATTGGTGGAGGCCGTATTGTTGGAGAAACACGGTACAAGCTAACATGGAGACGGTTGAATTAGGGGTGCTGAAGAAATAAACCGAATGCTTCATTGTGGCTGTCTAAGAATAAGCCTTGCAGACCAATTCCATGACAGCAAAAATTCAACATGACAACAACAACAACAACAACAACAGCAAATGCCGTTTATGCAACAAGAAAGATGAAACAGTGGATCACCTTATCTGTGGCTGCAGCAAAATCTCACAAACTGATTATCTACGACATCATGATCAAGTTTCCAAAATCATACATTGGAAGCTTTGCCAGAAGTTTGAGTTCAAATGCAGCAAAAATTATTGGGAACATCAAATTGACAAAGTGAGCAGATCAAGATCTTGTGGGACTTTTGAATCCTAACAGACAAGATATGTGACCTACAACATGCCTGACATCACTATTGTCGAAAAGAAAAAAAAGTCTGGTTCATTGATATTACAATATCAGGTGATTTACGAATTGAAGAGAAACAGCTAGAAAAAATAATAAAATATGGTTTGCAAATTGAACTTGAGCGACTATGGAGGAAGAATAATAGGAGAAAATAATAGGAGCAATAATAATAGGAGCTGTTGGAGCAATACCCACAGGGTTGCCTAAACATGGAAATTTTGAACTTATTAGACCTGGATATCCTAATTGTAAAAAAACACCCTACTTGGAACTGCCTATATACTCAGCTACTACCTTAACCTTACCTTGGTCAAGACTTGAACTGTTAAGTTTTTACCAGTCCCAGACTGCAAATTGAATTGAAAATTAACCATAATAATAATAAGCTGTGCTGTACTGGAAGATCTGCAAGAAATATAATTTGCCTGCAAGCAAGAACTGATAGAACCATAAAACAGAGAAAGTTATAGAAAATGAAGAAGCTAAATTGCACTGGGATTTAAGAATTCAAACAGACAAGCACCTGTCACATAACACTCCAGACTTAGCAATTGCCAATAAAAATAAATAAAAAAATCTGGATAGTGGACATGGCAGTATCTGGAGACAATAATAGGGGAAAAAAGAACTAGAAAAGATCACAAAATATAAATAACTACAAATATAAGCAAAGGTAATCCCAATAGTAATAACAACTTGGCTGCAATCCCAAAGCAACTGGAGCACTTGAACACTGCTAGCATTGACAAATTCACCATCAGTCAATTGCAAAAAGCAGCTTTACTCGGAATAGTTTCCATCCTGTGAAGATATCTGTAACACCATCAAACATTTACACCTCCTACCCCAGGTCCTTGAAAGGACTTGATAGATAGACTGAAATGCCAAATCCATTCTGAACATCTAGCTGACTGTACAACAGACCAATAAATATAGTCAATTGAAAAAGGTGGCTTTACTTGGAACAGTTTATATCCTACAACAATATTTTAACCATTAAAAAACATCATCTCCCTATCCCTGGTTCTTGAGAAGGATTTTGTGGATGGATAAAAATGTCAAATCTAGTCTAAACACCTGGTTGATTGTGCGACAAACCAGGATAATTAATTTCAATAGCACTTTTAAATTAATGACACTGTGATTAAATTCTTCATGATAAGATCTAAATGTAAAACAATTTTTAACATGTATTTGCTAAGACTGTCTTCAAATTTAACACAACAGAACTAAGATATTAAGCTTCTTACAGAACAAAAAAGTCCAAGCAAATGTAAAATAAGGAGCTTAATGACATTGCTAATCTGTTTTGGTGCACTCCTATGAAACATGCATGAAACCAACCTTTTGAAAGATACTGTATATTTGATTAGTTTGGAGATCATAATTATCAATATCATACTGGACTGATCTTCAAGCATACCTGAAATGTGAGATTTTCATTTCCATTTTTTCATGAATGCTTTATCTAAAACTGACAGACTTGTTAAGTAATTTCAAGCTATATATTATAAAATTAGATTCTTTCAAAAATCGTAGTAAAAAATAATCACAATTTTAAATAAGATAGCAGACTAAGGTTGGTGAAAAGAGACATGAAAGCGTCTTAAATTCTTTTTTGTGCCTGAGCTGGAGGAAACGGGAGGGAGGTACTGATCATTCGTGCTACAATAAAGAATGGGTTACCATGTTATACAAAACTGATCAGCATAGAACTCAACTGCTCTCATTGTTAAAATTAAACTAAATGAAGGCAATATTATTCAAACTGGAGTATAGTTGAAGATGATTTAACAAGCATTATCACACAATTAAAATGTGTTGATTGTTTATTTAATTAAATAGACAAATGCATAACATTATACAGAAAATCATCTTCTGCATTAATACTTCTGCATTGAGAAGTATGTTCTGTTTTTAGTGAAAACTGCATGATTGTGATTTGGCAGCACAACTCATTTAGAATTACAGATCAAGCTTGTCTTCTTACTTTTCCAATAATTAGAATTGATGGTTTTAATCATTTTTTATCCATCTGCATCTCAGTCTTTGAATTAAAGTGTGCCTTATATCTTTTTTTGTTTTTGTGGACATATAAATCCCACTTCCATGTATTTCACATTATTTTACTGTGCAGATTTGAATTTTTAAATGCACATTTCTTACCTCTACCACTGCCAGGTCAATTTTCAAACAGTGAAATAGAATGAAGAGTCAGATAGGGTCAATCAAACAGGTTATATTTCAATACCTTACTAAAAGCAATAAGGGAAATATTGAGAAGGCTATATCCACCATCACAGTTCTAGATTAATTGTCATATTTACTGATGTGTGCATATAAAATGTTTGACACTGTTTTTTTAAATAAAAAAGCCCTTTGTAAATGTCATGGTTTGTGAAAAAGGCCCTTAGTAAATATCATATTCATTTGTTTCCCATGTGTTTTATCACTAAGTTGTATCAAATCACTAAGAAAGTTATTGTCTTGTCTTACAGACAGCTTGTGTAGCACCTGCATTAGGAAGGAACATTTCATGACTAGATGTAGCAATAATTAGATCGGGTCTTCATTCAGATCTGTAACCAAAAACCTGCTGAAAGTTACCAGCAGCTGCATTTCAATAATTAGTTTTTAATCCATTTGTTTTTAAGCTTTGTGCTACGGATAAAAACCTGGAATTTGATAGAGACTTTCGGATTAAGCATTATGCAGGAGACGTTATGTAAGTTTGTTTCTCATACTTGTTGCCTGATTCCTATTAAAACAGTGTAATGCATAGTTGCATAATTATAGTTGCACTTTGTTTTTCCTTCTGTACTTCCTTTTGCTTTTTTGCAATGTAAGAAAACATCTGAAATTATTTCACTATGGTATTCAAATGATTGGTGTAGAGTATATGCTTATATTATACTATAAAAAATCTAGATATCTTATTGAGAACATGCGCTCCATTTTCTGCCTTATTGTTCCACGCATGATTCTCCTCCTCCTCCTTTTCTCCAAAAGCATAAAATAGATTAAACCTGATTTCATTTTCAACACTAAAATAGATTGGGCTGAGAATGAGAGTAACTGATCTAAAACAGTTCCCAGGATTTAGGTCTCCTTAGTCATAGTAATATATCTTAATCACTATATATAATTCTAAAACAGTAATTTATGAGTTTTGAAAGGGTTGTGGAAAACTAGGGCACTAATTATTGAGAGAATATGTGATTTGAAAATCCAACCCAAATACTTCCCAGAATTTCCAGTTTAAGAATTTGAAAAAGCCTCTGCTGAGACTTAGGACTCAATTCATAGAGTTGATAATGCTAAGCAACACAATCCAGTACTTAATACTACATAAGATAGTTCTAGTAGCATAACGGAAATATAAATATGCCACTCTCCCACCTCCAATTTAAATGTATGCTATGAAGTTAGGGTAAATAAAAAGCAAGACGAAATATGGAAAAAGAAGAACAGAAATACAACTTTGCCATCCTCCAAAGTAGCATAAACAGTCATTTCAGCCAAAACAGCAGCTTTATGACGAACCACAATTTAAGGAATGCTTGATTTTATTTATTTATTTATTTATTTGTTTGTTTGTTTATTTGTTTATTTATTTATTGCTGCACATAAGTTTTTCAATGATAATCAAGATTTCTTCCAAGATTTCTAACCATCCCTAAAACCTAATACCATTAACTGGGTAATTCTCCATCAAAATTCCTTCTATATAGCACAAATTTAGTTTTGCATTTTTAAAAAACTGATTTTACAGATACAGATAATCAGAGTTGGAAGGGACCTTATAGGTCATCCAGTCCAACCCCCTGCCCAAGCGGGAGACCTTACACCATTTCTGAAAAATGGCAGTCCAATCTCTTCTTGAAAGTCTCAACTGATGGCGCTCCCACAACTTCCGAGGGCAAGCTGTTCCATTGGTTGATTGTTCTCACTGTCAGAAAGTTTCTCGTTGTTTCCAGGTTAAATCTCTTCTTGTTCAGTTTCCATCCATTGTTCCTTGTCTGGCCTTTGAGTGCTTTAGAAAATAACTTGACTCCTTCCTCCCTGTGGCAGCCCCTCAAATATTGGAAGACCGCTATCATGTCTCTCCTGGTCCTTCTCTTTACTAGACTAGCCAAGCCCAGTTCCTGCAACCGTTTGTTGTATGTTTTAGCCTCCAGTCCCCTAATCATCCTGATTGCTCTTCTCTGTACTTTTTCTAGAGTCTCAACATCTTTTTTATAATGTGGTGACCAAAACTGGATGCAGTACTCTAGGTGTGGTCTTACTAAGGCTTTATAGAGTGGTATTAGTACTTCCCTTGATCTTGACTGTATCCCTCTGTTAATGCAATTTAGGATTGCATTAGCTTTTTTGGCGGCAATTTTGTAATAATGCATTGTCAGTTTAATTGTGGCAAAGACTTTTTTGTGAAGTCATAGTGATTAATTAGAAAACTCTGATGGTACTAAAAAGACTGTTATAATGTGCTCCTTTTTTGGTGTTAGGCTGACAGCTTGGTTTTATCTTTAGGTCTAATTCCATTGTATTTCCTGCATTAAAGTGTGCAAAAGTATTTGGAAAACATTAAGGCAAAGGCATAATTTTGACACTTATTCCCAGGATACACTATAGCTTTTTTGCATGTCATACATGATTAAGAGATATAAATATTTAAAATCAGTTTATGGCTTGTGAAATTCTCAAGCCATTTAATTATTGCAGGGGGAAATTGGATTACTTGAGATTGCAAAATGGCATTTCACTAAAAGTACCTCTTGGTTGTTCACTTTGACCCAGTTGCATTATAAGTGTTTAAAACTTCTAAAGATGACAGTGAGGATGAAGAGATTGAGGAATATTTACTTCCTTTAAGGTATTGGAACTCTGCACAGTGCTTCTTGAAGAGAGATCTTTAAAAGCTTTTTTCCCTTACCATTATGTTTTGAATATTATCCATTTTCATGAGACTTTAGATTTTTATTTTTTGCTGATTTCTATTTATGGGTTGTTTTTTTCTTATTTTCTGAGTCCAGGTACTAATTCTACCTAAGTAGTTACTTAGTAGTTCAGTGCAACTAATTACCACTTTTTTATATTTATCAGTTATTCAGTCACAGGATTCATTGATAAAAATAAGGACACTTTATTTCAAGACTTCAAGCGTTTGATGTATAACAGGTAGGAATCAATTTAACTATCCATTTGGTTTTTTACCTAGAATAGGCCAAATATGACTATATTGTTGCCTTTTAAAATTCTTTCTTGTATTTTGTAGTTCCAACCCAGTGCTGAAAAAAATGTGGCCAGAAGGCAAACTGAGTATAACAGAAGTGACCAAGCGGCCATTGACTGCTGCTACACTTTTTAAGAACTCAATGGTTGCCTTAGTGGACAACTTAGCATCCAAGGTAAGAAGTTCCTAATTCAGGAAAGGTGACCTTTGATGACTACCTGTTATTTCATTACTGTGGCTACTTGCCAAGTCACTCTTGCCTTGATTGTATCAGCAACAAAAATTTCAATAGGACATTTTGGGATTAGAATATTAAAGAGTTCATCTTCCTTCTAGCATTGAGAAAACTCCAAGATTACAGAGTGTGATCTGTTTATGATAAGGGAGTAAGAGCTATGTTCCCAAAGCCCAGATCATGTAAGAACTCAAAAAATGATACAAATATTTGGAATAGATAATAATAATGCTAGCTTAGACTATATATTTTCTGCAAAAGAACACAAAGATCAAACAGGAACAAATCTGTCAGTATAAATTTCTTGATGCAGCATATTTAAAATTTCCCCATAGAATTTTTGCTTAGTGCCACATATAGAATGATCTAATTGAAAAAAAAAACCATCTGTAGCTATAAACCATGGATGTCAAACTCGATTGTGTCACGTGACATGTTGTGATATATCGTGACTTTTTTGCCTTTGTGGAGCTGAGATGGGCGTGGCCAGTTTGATATCCCTGCTATAAACAATTGCATTGTTATGAATTTGTAAATGCTGAGGAGAATAAAGATGTTCTTAACATTTCTCTAAATTGTAGCTAAGTCAGTGCATGATTTATTTGTGTGTGTGTGGGAGCATTCCTAAGAATAGGTACTGCAGCAAAAAGCTATTTATAGATGTGGCACAATCTTACTATGATCTCAGTAGTTTCCATGTAGGTACCATATTGTTCTCATGTTTTATCCAAGAGTTGATATTCTGAAGATCGGAAAATAACTTACCTATTATAGTGGCAATCTCTAATGAAGATAATTTGAAGCAGCCCTTTCCTGTTTCCATAGTGTGGTTGGCAACTAAAGCAAACCCAAATATTATTTACCAATGGGAACTTGTGCTAAGATTTTGATTTTCCAGGTATCAGAAGGGGATAAATTAAATATAGTAAAATAAGCACACAAAAGGAATGACAATGTGCAAAGAACAAAAGCCTGAAATAAAAAGAGAATAACATTCCTCAAGGCTTTACTAGAGGCTGAAACAGAACATGAAATAGAATTTTTTATTTTAAAGATTGTAGATTAGCACTTCTCAAAATGATTCTTTTTGAATTTATTCCTTCTGTTTTTGGATATCTTAAGACATACCCTGGCTGAACTCATCGGTTAAATCCATTTTACCTATTTATTTAATAATGAATAATTTCGTTAACTTTCACCCTTTCTTCAGAAAAGTATATTCTTCCCTTTACTATTTTTCAATGACAGATTACTTCTCTTTCACTGATTTCATTTTTTAAAATATCCATATTTGCCTTATGAAGTATTGTAGCCTGTTTACTATTATGAGTATGGGAGGAGGAGATAAATAAGTTACAGTATAGTGTACAGCTTATCTACTTCCCTGTGTCTGTGCTTTTTTGAATAGTGTAATATTTGATGATAAATATACAATACCATAATAAAAGAATGTATACTGCTAGTGTATTTTGACACCATGATTTGTAATAAATTTGACAGCTTTACATTTTTGTCAAGAAAAGAGACTCTTGTTCTAAAATAAGAACATAGTAAATCATCTTGTTCTATTGAGTAAATCAAACCATGGTCCATCTAGCAATACTGCCTAGACTAAATGGCAGCAATTCTTCATTCAGTTTCTGACTGATTTATCTCAGTGCTGTTTGGGATGCCTTTTAATGATAGAAAAAAGAGGATTAGAAATATTATTATAATAAATAAATGATTACAATATGTTTTAACAGTAAATTACACATATCTCTTTGGTATGGAAACAGGAATAAGTTTTCTTTAGTAAAGTCTGATTTTTTTTTAGGAAATGTCTTATATCCTGGGGTTGAGAAAGAACAGGCTAGGCTAGGTTAGGGATTCAGTCATCTTTTCTATCAGAAATGGCTCTTAAGATCCAAAGGAGGCACTTTTTTTTGAAAATACAGCCTCTATCACAGGTGTATCTTTTTGACATTTAGAAGACAGCCTTCTTCAGTATTGTTCTATTCAACACAGTCCCTGGCATTTGCGGTTGCATTTAGAAAAATCTGTAAATATCTCTTTAACAGTCAGAAAAATTATAAAAAGACGTAATTGTATTATACTTTTAATTATTAATTGTATTAATAATTTAATTATTAATTGTATTAATTTCATTATTTTAATTTATTTATTTTATATTTCCATATTCTTTTTATTTTTAAATTTGAGCAGCAACTTTGGGAATTAACCTAAACAAAAAGGCTTAACCTATGAATATGCATAACTAAAAAAAAACAGAGCAGGCTTTCCTTATATAAAAAAAGACAGAAATGTTTGAGGAAATGATTTCAGAAATGAGTATAAACTAGCTTCTTTTTATTTTACCTCAGTTCTTTACTTCAATGACAGTTGGGAATTTTGCAGGTAGGAGAATTTCTCTACCATCTTTCAACCCTGTTTCCAGCAAAGATCTGTGCTCTCAGTGTAGATACTTAACAGATTTTTTAAAGAGCGAGATAATAACTAGCAAGCTGACATAATTCTGTTTTATTAGGCAGGATGGTTAAAATCTAGAACAGTTGTGGCAAAGGAAAAAATATATGGGTCAATTTTTTTCTTCATCTTCCCTCTCTTCTGTTTTCTTACTGTTATATTATCTCATGGCTGACACTCCTGCTATTACATAGGATGCTCAGTACTTGCCTTTATTTCTAAGAGTTGCACGGCAGGCAAAATTCTGCCTGTTATAGTTTTTATAATTGCAGGCTGGCAATCTTAAGATTACAGTGAATGTCTACGGAGATTCTCAGTTATCCAGCACATGGTTGTCCCAAAGGTGCTTTTTCAAGAGGCAACTGGACTTCAGAGCTGAAGAAGCTTCTTGGATGAGAAGTGAAGCATCTTCAAATAAACAAACAAAAACAAAAGTCCAGTTGCCTCTTGAAAAAGTATCTTTGGGATGACAGTGAGAGGTAAGAAGTTGTAACAATTGATTGGGATATTAAATTTCATATTGTCTAAGCTAGAAAACCAATTACTTTTTTGCTGGATGCCTGTCTTAGAACTTCTCCTTGTTTAATCTTTTTACTCTTAATGAGTACTCTTATTGGCTGTTTTCTAGTTAGTGTGGAAATGGATTATAAAAATGTGTAGTCAAGAATGAAGACATATGGAATAGAGCTACAATACGAGATCTATTATTTGCATTCTGGAAATTCATTTAATGATGCTCATTGTAACTTACCTGATAGATCTTATTTCAGGTGTTTCTAGGAAAAATATAGTCTTGTTTTTCTAATGGAATTTTATAGGAGAAGGTAATTAGGGGGTCACTTTCCACATGGTCACTTTCTACTACTCTTTTATTTTATCTGTTAATTCAAATACTGTTGTTTCTGGTTGCTTTCTTTTAGGAGCCATACTATGTCCGTTGCATTAAACCCAATGACAAGAAGTCACCGCAGCTGTTTGATGAAGAAAGATGCAAGCATCAAGTTGAGTATCTTGGACTTCTGGAAAATGTAAGAGTACGACGGGCAGGATATGCCTATCGCCAAACATATGAAAAATTTCTTCACAGGTAACAATTGATGAAAACTTTGCAAATTTCTTATATTTAACTGTAAAAATATGTTTATGGTTTGATATTACATAAGCATTCTTACACAAATCACAGTTATGTCTTAAGTAATTTAAGAAAAATTATTATCAAGATTAGTGAGACCAGCTAAAGAAAAACCAATTTTATATCCTTTTTTGGTATTCTATATAAATGCACATGTTTTTTATGGAAGAGCAGGAGTTTCATGGGATATCTAAAGAATTTTATTAAAATTTTATTAAAATGCATTACATCCAAATAAAACAGTTTTTATAAATCCTTTTCTTGCTCCAGGCTCAATTCTCTATATCAAGTAAAGCAAGACCTCTCATATTTATTTAGAATTATTTGGCAAAAGCTAGAACATGCTAAAATTACAATTTGTAAACATAATTAAATCATTCAGCCAAATCCATTTGAATGTTAGATTAATTTAATATCATTAATTCCTTTTAGCTTTGTTAGATATCCAGTCTACTAGAAGGTATTATATATATTTACCAATGCTGAAAATTTTAGTTGCTAAAATGCACTGAAAAAACAAGGGTTATCTTATCTGCAGATGGGCTTATATGCAAACTCAACAATTTAGTTTGCATATCATTTATTCTGTAACTTAAGCAATTGTAGCTTGTTCAGTAAACTACTGAATAACAAACAAAGGATTAGTGTTATTTCACAGTTATTGCAAATTAGCATTTTGTAATACATGTTTAAGGTTTCTATAATATATAATTCTGTATCAAGACTGTATATTTATTTTCTTTCTATTCTTTCTATGGGAAATCTGCTTTGGCAAGATAATATGGGTTGTTGTGGATCTTTCTGCCCTATTACTGACCATCATATTTAATATTGGCAAACAATGTTTTTTAAAAATAATTCTTGCATCAATGCAGGTACAAAATAATTCCTGAATTTACTTGGCCAAATCACAAACTACCATCTGACAAAGAGGCTGTGAAGAAATTGATTGAGCACTGTGGGTTTCAAGATGATGTGGCATATGGAAAGACAAAGATTTTTATTCGCACGCCACGAACACTCTTCACGTTGGAAGAAATGCATGCCAAGATGCTTGAATGGGTGGTTCTCTTTCTACAAAAGGTGAGAAGCAATATTGAAATTTCTTATAAAGTAATCTACATCTGATATCCACAGATTCACAGAATGGAAAAACACAATTTGTAAAATAAGTTGCCTTTAATCATGTGCTAGTCCTGGTGACTTACATGTACACATGCATATAGTTTTCTTGGCAGTGATAAGGGAGTGGTTTGCATTGCCTTCTTATAGAATGTTGTTGGTTTTTTTCCCCTTTCAGATCTAGCATATTTCCAATGTTCTTTTAACTCTAAGGAGTTAAAAATAGATGAAAACCAAACTGGATTTGAAAGACCTGTCCAGTCTTGTTCTCTTCACATGTTGGCCATCCAGATGTCTGTAGGAATCTTACAAACTGAATAATAGCACTTTCCTTCTCATATTTCCCAAGAAATAACCCCAGAGAAACAACACTTTGCTCACAAGAGGATTTGCCACTTAAATAATATGCATTAGTGTCTCCTCCTCCATTAATTGGTATCATTTATATTTAAAGCCATTCAGGTGATAGTAATTGATACATCCTGGTGAAGACAATTATATAGTTAAGCATATGTTGCATTAAAAAGTCTGTCCAATCAGGAACTTTGGATGATCTCTATTCAAATATTATTGAAAAGACAAAAAAAAAAAAAACCAACAATTCCATCCCTTTGCTTCATATAATGTGTAATAGCTTATTTTTGTGGCATGTTCTCTTTTATGCAATCTTTTTTTCCATGCTAAAAAGTCCCTAATGTTCCTACAACTCTTGGATAATTTTTCTTGCCAGTCACACACTTCTGCATCAGCTACTGCTGTGAATCCCCCAACAGTAGTTTTAGCAATTGCTTATTATTGGCAAAGAGCTAGTATTTGTTAAAAAAAACTTTGTAGAGCTTAGTGCTCTCTGAGCTTGGTTGTTTACTTGCAGAGGTTTTATTATCCAACTAGGTAACATCATTAGTGCAGTGTGTGGGTGGGTGGGTGGGTGGGTGTACACATATGTTGTTTTCATAATTTGATGGTTATATGAGAAAATGAGTAAGACATATTTGAACAAGATGAAAATCCATGGTTAGGAATAGGGGCTAGAATTCTTAATAATGCAGGTTCTAATTTGAAGCATCGTATTATTAACATGCTTCAAATTAGAGCCTATGTGATTAAAAATTCCAGAAATGAGAGCTATTTTCATTAGATGACAACCAGAAATAATTGCTGATAAATATTCATTTTTTGTTTTTTAAACACACATACAAACACAGAGTTGTAATACGTTACTCATTAAATAATGCCATTATTTAATTTTATAGAATTAGCTTTAAGACTTTAGACTACTTTTGGCTTGTTCATTTTATTCTTATTGGTACCTTTACTATGAAAAAAGATGGTATCACTGATTAAAACCTTGTTATAGAAACTAGGCAAAAATAATTTAAGTGAAGATGAAATAATTTTTTTTCAGTATCACATTTTTTGAATGTCTTTGAATGCATTGTTAATTATCTTTTAACAAATCTTTAACTTTAATCTTTAAATTAAATACTATTTGAATCTTGTATCTTTTTCTTAATCTGCACAAAAATGAACACTTTTGACTCCCTCGATAGTCAAACTGTCAGTGTGAAAGGTTCTCTCTTATACTTGCAATAGTTGTAGGGAACATTGGCAACCTTGCTTTTTTTTAAAAAAAAAAAAAATCTTTACCTTTATATATCATACACCACTCAAAGCTATTTATAATATTTGTTCATAACTAAACTATGATTTTAGTACAACACAAAACATTTCCTGAATTCTTTATGCATTTTTTAAAGGTGTTCACTACATTTCTATATCAGCTTTTGAGATAAGTATCAATAACAGTAGATAAAATTTTATTTATTTATTTGTTGAATTTATATTGTCGCCTATTCGCCCATGGCAACTCGAGGCGGCTTACACAATATAAAACCATATTTAAAATAAAAAAAACAGCAAAAACTAACAAAAAGAATCAAATAAATTAATACAGTAGAAACAAAATCTGGAAAAAAATAAATAAAAAACATCACCCCACGCCCCGATGACAGCAGATCACATGAGCCATTTAATGGGCTCCATCCTGTTCTGGGTTCCCCAGGCCCACTGGCAGAACCAGGTCTTCAGTGCCTTCTGGAAGGGTATTAGAGAGGGAGCCATTCTACTCTCTAGGGGAATGATGTTCCAGAGAGAGGGAGAAGGCCCTTCTTCTGGGTCCCACCAGGTATATCTCTCTCAGAGATGGAACCCACAGCATTCCCTGACACCCCACTCTAATAGGTCAGGTAGATGTGACCAGCAAGAGACGTTCCCTCAGATAACCTGGTCCCAAGCCATGAAGGGCTTTAAAGGTGACAATCAGCTCCATGAATAGCACCTGGAAGCAAATCGTCAACCAATGCAGCTCCTGCAGGAGAGGTAAAACATGTGCATACTGTGATCTGCACAAAACCATGCGGGCCACTGCATTTTGCACCAACTGGAGCTTCCAGATGTTCTTCAAGGGCAGCTCCATGTAGAACACATTGCAATAATCAAGACAGGAAGTGACTAGGGCATGAATGACTATAAGTAGGGATCGTTAGTCCAGGAAAGGGCGTAACTGGTGCACAACCTGCAGTTGTGCAAAGGCCCTCCTGGCCATGACTGCCATCTGCTCTTTGAGCAGGAGTTGTGAGTCCAGGAAAACCTCTAGATTACGCCCTGGGTCTGTGTGGGGTAGTGCCACCCCATCCAAGACCAAAGGTGGCAATTCTGTCTGAGCCAACAAACCCCAAACCCAAAGCCACTTGGTCTTGGAAAGGTTTAGTTTCAACCCGTTGCTCCTCATCCAGCCCCTAACAGCCTCCAGGCACTGTGAGAGGAAGGATACAGCAACACTTAGCTCACCACGGGCCAAGACATACAGTTGAGTATCATCAGCATATTGGTGACACCTCAGTCCATGGTGATGGATGATTTACCCAGTGGCTTCATATAAATGTTGGACAGGAGTGGAGAAAGTACTGATCCCTGCGGAACCCCGTAAAGCAGTGGGCAAGGGTTGGATCTCTCCCCTCTTATCAACACTGACTGAGAGCGGCCACAGAGGAAGGAAATGAACCAAGACAGCACAAGGCCTCCCACTCTATCCCCTGAAGCCGTTCCAGGAGAATCCTATGGTCAATGGTATCAAAAGCCACTGAAAAGTCAAGTAGAGCAAGGATGGATGCACTACCCCCATCCCGCTCCCGCGAGAGATCATCTAAAAGTGCAACCAATGCTGTTTCTGTCCCAAATCCAGGCCTGAATCCTGACTGGCAGGGGTCAAGATAATCCGTTTCATCCAGAAACCTCTGGAGCTGCTGCACAACCACCTTCTCAATAGCCCTAACCCTAACATTTTCCCAAAATACTGCAAATACCAAAATAATTATTAAAGGTAAACCTAATGCAAAATGAGAAACTAATGCAAAATAAATCAGTCCTAACAACAACAACAAAGTCAGTGAAGAAAGAAGCTTAATATTCTGTTAGGAAGGATATTGGAAAGCCTATATTTTTAGCTAAAATTTGGACAGATTCCTAAACAAGAAGATGGATTACACCTTTTAGCTCTAACTGGAAACTACTGATAGATAGTAGTTATTGAACTTGTATGACTTTAATAACCAATCAGGTCAGAAATTTGATTATAGTCCACTAACATTTTTCAAAGACAAACCCATGTGAGTGTCACAAGGGCATAGTTTATGGGTCTAGGACAACTCGTCACAACTAACTCGCCATGATCAACTTGCCACAGTCAACTCGCCACTGCAGGACAATTCAGTATAGGTTTAATTTCTTTTATTATTCAACAAAGTACTACAGAAGCTGGTAGTCATAGGAATGATTTTCTTTGATGCAATAGATAAAATAATGTGGTAAATAAAAGGAACTAAGTGACTCCTGCAGCAAGTTGTCCTGCAGCAAGTTGGCCACGGTGATGTCAAGTCTGGGGAAATCGGGAAATCAAGTTACAACTGAGTATAAAGATTTATTGCAAACTTAAGCTCTTTACAAGAATCTGAGTTACTAACTGTCAAAACAAACTGGTAGTAGATAAGAGTCAAAGGAATTCAAATGGATTTAGATATAATTATGGGCATGAAGGGACTCAATGACAGACGATGTGTTTGAACCCGCTTTCAGGCTTAGCCTAGTCATCTCCTACAGGTGAGTTGGCCATGGCAAATTGGTTGTGGCAAGCCTGCCATGGTAATTGCCAGGGGTGAGTTCTCCCGTGCTATGGTTTTCCATGGCAGATACAGCGATTTAAGTGGGGGGCATCGTTGCTCTATCAGTCTCTGAGATTTGAAAGCACATGGGCTGTTTGCAGTTCTTTTAGTAATAGCTTATTAAATAATTAGTGGCAGGGAAGTAAGAAGCATACTCACGTGGCATTTTTCCAACTGCTTCATATTTTATCAGTTACATAGTCTGGTTTATATAAGGCAGTTTAGTAGATTGTAAACATTCATTTATGTTAGAACAAATAGGACTGCGTGGCTATATTTAAGTCATACTTCTAATGTCTATTTCCCACACATCCTTGAGCTCACAATTTTTGTAAAGCAAACTGAGATAAGTTAGGAAGCTTCCAGCTTAACTTCTCAGATACCCTTTTGTTCAGTTTCCCGAGCCACTTTCTCTGCTTGGAAAGGTATGTGCTTGATTCCATCAAGGTACCTTCGTGGAGAAAAACATGTCATCTTAAGTTTCCTGGTTCACATAGAGTAGTATCTCTTCCCAAATGTAAATGTGTCTGCCATCCTTCCCAGACTTGTGAGTAATGCTGCTCTGCCTCGCCCCCTCACCTTGAGGCATTCTAGTTTCCCCAGACGCTCCTCTTAGTAGACTTGTCAATCAAATCCCCAGCAGCTGTGGTTGCCATGGCAATGTTTCTGGGCTAAGTGGGAGGGGTGAGTGGGTGAGTGGGAATGAATAGATGAGAGGAGAGAGGAAAACAAAAGCTGAGC